ATGGAGATGCCTCCCAAAGACACAGCCTCCCTTGAATTTTCTGGAGCTCTGTATTTTGTGCTTTCCTATGGGACTGGTTAGTGGTTACCAAAGTGTGTTCCATAGAACCAGTGATTTGCAGACTTTAAACACATTTTCTGCAAAAGGAACTTCCATGGCCCTATGCTCGGGGAATGTGTTCAGCAACAAAGCTGCAGGACTTTTCAGAGTATAACACAGTGACTCATCCAAAGGGGGAGAGAGGTAGAGCCTGCGGTTTCTCTCAAACTTGCATGACAGGTAACCCTTCCTTCACTGGTATCTTCTGGGGTGTGCTGTTGGCAGAGTCACATCTTGTCTCATGGCTGTTGGTGCAGGTATGTGGGTCTGGCCGGAAGTAGACCCTCAGTGCACCCGGCTGAGTCTGTGAGATGGGGCAGCAGTGCCTGCTTTCTGAGCTGAGAGGACACCGTGTGCAGGATCAGGGAAGCTCACCATCAGCCCTGCCTCTCCTTTGAACTCAGCCTGTAGGTGCGGCCCTGCTGGCAGCAATGCGGCAATCCACCCTTGGGGGTTTCCCCCTCTCTCTTCTCCAGGAAGAGGGCTGTGGACGCCATGGTGTGAAGCCCCTGGCCCCGCCCTCCATCCTGGGTTTAGCACTTGGGCTTCTTAAGCAGTGGGCAGGAGATGCTCCTTTCCAGGGTGTTCAACTTCTGAGCTCTGGCTCTTCCATAGGTGCCTGGCATGGCACAAGGTGCCAGAGAGTTGGGGATCAGAGGCACCTTTTGGGCCAGCTCTTGGGACCAATGAATCTGTGAGCAGCTGCCCTTTGGTACCCGGCCCTGTCCCCGGCTCTGTTTAGGCTGGCTACGCGAGCCTGTTTCCTGGAGGTGCTAGGCAAGAAACTTCAATTTCAGTGTAATCCGCGCCATGCAAGCCTCCTCCTCTTCCATGTCTTTTTCAGCTTTGTCCCTGACATCTGGGAATGAGTAGAATCAGGAGATGAAAACGGCCAGGTCAGGGGAGAACTCAGCAGCTTCCTCAGAGGCCCAGAAGCTCTGTCCTCGGCCTGGGGTTCCTCACCTCTGTCCTATGGGCCCATGTCCCCCCTCTGGAGCCCTGCAAGAGTCCTCTCCAGCTCCCTGTTGAAGTTGCAAACAGGTTCCGCCCTATTCCCCTGAGGTGTCTCCTCTCTCTGGATGATTCCGGTGGCTTCCTATTGGCTCTCTCCAGAGACCACAAGGAACATCGGCTCAGGTTCTGTCCCTTTCCAACTCTCTGCTATCTCAGGATGCTGCTGACCGCCACTGTAAAGCCTCGGTCCTGTCTCTGCCTGGGACACCACTGGAATTCTCCATCCCACCAGCTCTTGATTTCCAGCCACTGTCTTACTGTGCCTGCAGCCTAAACGCCTTTCCACCTTCTGCTGGACTCTGACCTCTGACGGGAGCTTCCAGACTTAACTTCTTCCAGCCCACCTTTCTCTCCTCTACTGTGGTTTCCACACGAACTGAAACCAGGTCTAAAACTGTTAGGGCCGACGCCGCAGGGAAAGAGACCCCAAGGACTCAACTTTTGGTGAGGGAAAAAAAGTTTATTTCCATGCGCATGGGGTCCCCCAGGCAAACAAGTGTGGAGGGCCCCGAGGGGGAATTGTGTAGGGTTTTTAAGGGCGCAAACGGGAGGCAAGCGAGTTTACAGAAGCAGATTGCATTGGTTAATTTTGAGCAGGATAGGACTTGGCAGAAGTTGATTGGAGGGGTTTGGGGTTGAGTAACCATGGAGACTGGGGGTCCTAGCCCAGTCACTATGTGCCCAGAACAGAACAGTTACTTGTCTTACTTATCTCGTTGAGACAGAACAACCTTGCAGGTGCATTTTTTCTTTTTTTTTTCTCTGCTCTGATAGCTCTGGGGAGTTAGGCATTTCTTTCTGCTCTGCTCTGATAGCTCTGGGGAGTTAGGGAGTTAACCCTTTTATTCCCCCGCTCTGGGGAGTTAGGGAGTGAAACATTCTTTGCTGCTTTTTATAACTCGGGGAGGGGGTTATAGCAGGGGGGTCAACTCTCACAAAACCAGCGAGCGCATGCTTTTCCCCTCCGTCTGTCTCCTTAGAACGGCAGTCCACCGAATACTCAAAATGCCTCCCAAATGTCGAAAACAAACCACTCTTGTAGCACAGTCAAATGGTTGGAAGTCTACGCACCACGCCCCCCTCTGCCTTAGTCACTTTCCTTGCTGAGACAAGTACGGGACAATGCCCTGCTACATCCTTCCAGGTCACAGCCAGAGCCCGCTCCTAACAAAGGATACATGAATCCCGTGGAACACAGAAGCAGTTGCCTTCAGGCCTGCCTCTGAGCTTCGGGGGCGGGGGTGGATGTAAACCACACCACACCACCTTCTCTGGTCCTACTGGTCACACCCCCTCTCCCTGGTGGTCCTGGCTAAAAGTTTCAGTGTGCATTCAACCAATCTGAGAGTTCCAGAGGTTATTTCCCTGACCTCCATAATGCCACACTGTGGTTTTTTCTCCTTTGCTACTGCTACAAATAATACTGAATATGAAACTTTTCTACAGGCAGAATGTGAGAAATGGGATTGCTGGGGAAAGTTATACATGAAAACTTTGTTGTTTAGAAGGGTCTTTCTAAGTTGTCCAGGCTACTCCCAAATTCTAAGACTCCAGGTATCTTTTTGTCTCAGCCTCCTGAGAGCTGGGAATACAGGTACAGGCCAGTGCACCTGGGTTCCTCTAGTGGACACTGCTCTGCTGTGTTTAACACATTGGACTGATTATGCACTGCAGTGTGACAGTCTATCCTTCTCCCTTGAGGACAGGGTTGGGATTTACTGGTCACCATGTTGCTGGCCCACAATAGGCTTTGTAGGTGCTTGTTGTTTGCATCTGTGGCCTACCAAACCCTGCCCGCCCCCCTTTTTTTAACCAAAAAGCAGAACCCTTCCTTCTTCTAAAGAGCCTGTGGTGTCAACTGCGAGACCAGGAGACCTTGGCTCAATAGACCATGAAGAATCCTGGAGTCCTGAGCACTGTCTTTGTTAAGTGACTGGTGTGAGGTTTTTATTTTAAAGCTGGCCTGAAGGATCTGGGTTGCCATGGCAACCCTGGAGCAGGGCAGCCTCTTCCCTTCCTTCCCTCATTGGGAGCCCTGGTTGCCATAACAACCACTGAGTCCAACCCCTTCCCCCACCAGAGGGCCTCCAGCTTCCCAAGTCTAGACAGCCCTAATGTGGCTTGATCTGTCACGCACGGCCCCTTGGGGTCCTCTGGACCCAGGTGAGACAGTAGCATAGCCACTGGGGAAGGGGGAGGTCGTAGTGCAGACAGAGCGAAGATCCTATTCTCTGGTGACCAGATCGGGAGACAATTCCCTGGAGTCATGGGGCCCTTGGGGGATCCATGAGGCACAGGGGCACAGTGGCCAAGTGTTTCTGCTCAACATGCCCTGCTTAGATGAGTGCCACTGCTGCTACCCCCGGGGAGGACTCCTGGGCCCTGCCAAGGGAAACCACGGTCCTCTTCAGAATACCCAGAATGCACCAGGAGGGACACACGGAGGCCTCAGCAACCCTATGGAGTCTTTATGATCAAAAGAAAGCAGAACACCTGAAGATTGTTTGCACTTGGGAAACCCTGCTGAGGGGAAAACAGGACCAGGGTGGATGCTGCCACAGCTGTGTGATCCAGAGTGGACTTCCCACACCTGGCTAGGACAGTGATGGACAGTGACAGTGATGGACATGGAAAAACCCATCTCCCCACCCATGAACCATCTTGCCCACTCCTGGAGTCCAAACCAGGCCCAAGCAGCTGCCTCCTTCTCCCCTCATACCCCTTTTGGGAGGCAGGGTAGATGAATAAACCTAGGGAGAAAGGAGACAAGGAAAATTGTGGTTTTAAAATTATACTTTTGGGGTTTGAAGCCAGGGCCTTCCCTCTGAGCTACATCCTTAACCTTTTAATTTTTTTTTTTAGTTTTGAGTCAGTCTTGCTAAGTTGGACTTGCCCTTGTACCCAGAAGGCTCTGTGTACCAGGGATTATGGGTGTGTACCATCATACCTGGGTCCTAAAATTGTACTTTTAAGCAGATTGCAGTTTCAGGACACAATTGAAGTTACCCAAGACTATTCTCTGGATTTTGAAAATGCAGGCTTGTAACATCCAACTATAAACTTTGTGTTTGATGGAACTCAGACTTCTGTACCCCCAAATTGCAATGTGCAGGAGGGACAGGCAGCAGGGGAGAGATCTGAAGCCCAGCAGAGAGGAGGGGGATGGGGAAGAGGCTGAGAAGCAGCTGATCCCTGCAGAGTCTCAGGGAGCCCAGGGATAGAGGCACCAGATGCCGAGGAAGTGTGACAGAGAAAGGGCCTTCTGGAGACGACTGCAAAGTGTGTGTGAGGAGCTGTGTGGACCTCAAGTCCCCAGCTTTGCTGTGTGCAGCCAAGTGTGCTACCACTGCTCTGGTAGTCCCAGGAGAACCAGAGCTCTTTCTCTAAGGATGCTGTGCATGGAGAGGTCAGGAGGAGACACGCTAGGGTCGGGGACAGAGTCTGCCTATGAACTGATGAGGCTCCTGGGCCCCTTTCTCTACCCAGCCCAGTGCACCAGGTCAGCTATATCTGCCCTTACCCCTGACCCCAAAAGGAGACGAGAGGATGTTTACTGCATAGGGAATAATAATCCCAAAAGAGTGACTGGCAGATGCTCATGTTTGGGGATCTGTAGCAGATAAGTTGGTGGGAGCAACTGGATGTCTTACAGTGAAGCCCACCCAATCACTTCGTGACACTCAGGCATGTAATGCCTTCATCAGGCTCAGTAGTGTGGCCTGGTCTTCAGCATGAATGCATACTCCAAGACCATCAACATCTAAGGGATACTTCTTGTCCTCCCACCCCCAATGAAAAATATAAGCCAAGAGGAAACAGAGCAGAAATGAGGGCCGCAGAAACCATAATTGGTATTGTTAGATTTAAGAAACTGCATGAAAAAAAGAACAGAGTATTCTAAAAGGAATAACTAGAGAATGAGAAAGAATTTATGGGAGTAAACATTCTTTTATTTATTTTTGAGACAGGGTGTCACTATGTCCTGCAGGCTGGCATTGGGCTCACTGTTTAGCCCAGAGTGGCTTGAAACTCTCAGTGATCCTCCTGCCTCAGCCTCCTGAGTTCTGGGACTATAGGCGTGCACTGCTGCGCACGGCCAGGAAGCAGCCATTCTGATAGCAAAAAAGTTTAAAAACTATTGCGGCTTGAAAGATGAAGTTGAGGAGCTTTCTCTGGAAATACAACAGGAAGAGACAGTGACATGGATTAGAGGAGAAATGAGAGAGCAGGTGTGTGAAAATCAGGGCATCAATCCGAGAAGCTCTGCATTCAGCTAATAGGAGTTCCAGAAATAGAGGAGGGAGAACCAAACTGTCAAAGGAATAATACAAGAGAATTTCCCAGAATTAAGGATGCCACTTCCCAGATAGTAAGTTCCCTTGAGTGTCCAGTATCAAAAATATCCAGATTCAAGGTCATTGTTGTGACATTTCAGATTCAGGGGTCGAGAGCTCTGTGGTTTCTGGAAAGGGTGGGCCAGGACTCAGTCAGACAAGTGAGGCGTTTGCCTTTCGTGTAGCATTTGAGGGGGCAACAAAATCAGTAAGATAAAATATTTACCACTATCAAAAAATAAAATAAGAATAAAGTAAAATAGCTTCTGATGAACCAAATGGGAAAATGTTTTAACATTAGATGGGATCTAGTGAGGCTGGGGTTAAAAAAGTGAGGTGGAGTTTTGAAAGTGTAGGTCTGGAGCCGGTCTTCATTTAGGGTTGCTATTTTGGTTATTGTACTTTTATTTTGTTTTGTTTTGTTTTTGAGGGTTTTGTGATATAGTTCAGGCTGGCCTTGAATTCATAGCAATCCTGTCTCAGCCTCCGGAGTGTTGCGATTGCAGCGTGCGTCCCCATTCACTGTGGTTTCTGTGCATTTTGACAAGCCCTGACTTTGGAGCTCAGGAAAAAGCTCCTCTTGCATACAAAAGACTGAGAGTAACAATATCCCTGTGCTAGCCAGCGAGCTTTCATCATGGTGACAGATACCTGAGACAGTCAGTGTAACAGAGGAAAGTTTTGATTCATAGTTTCAGAGGGTTCAGTTTATGGATAGCTGCCTCCATGCTTTGGGCCAGTGAAAAGGTAGAAACATTTTGGTGGAAGGGCACAGCAGGAGGGACCCACGGTCCTCCTGGCTGCCAGAAAGCAGAGAGAGGATGGTGGAGGGGAAGGAATGCCCTTCCAGGGTGCTCTGAGTTTGTCCATCTGCCATAGTCTATGTAGTAATGCACCCATCAGTGGATGGATCCATTCCTCACTTCAGGGATCAAGCCCTCCGCACTCTTGGTGCAGACCGTGGCACTGGGAACTAGCAGCACATTCCAGGAGGTTGATACAAGGGGACATTTTTAAATGGCGAATGAGGAAAATGACATCAGGTCTTTTGAAACAATTGTCTTTGACTACAAGGATTAATAATACCAAGGCACCAGTCCGAGTGTGAACAGGTAGTTGCTGGGCAGATGTCCTTGTAGACTTTCGTGTAAAGTTTCAGTGGCTTTTGTGTAAAGTTGTGCTTCTGGTAGAGGTTTCTGTGACTAGTTATTTTTTGAGGGGATCCATTCCTGAGAGTCCTCCTTGAAAACCTTTTTTTTTGGTAATGGGAATTGAGCTCAGGACCTTACACTTGTCAGGCAGGCCCTGTGCCACTGAGTTGTGTCCCTGGCCCCTGACTTTGTTTTCAGGTTGACAAAACAAGGGGAAAATTTTAAAGGCAAACAAAGAGATTGCCTCAAGTGTCGACAAAAGTGACTCCATCTTGATTCTGACAACTTTCATAGTGTCGGTCTTGTACCAGTCACTTTGGAAGTGTATGCGCAATGAAACAGTGCTTCCAAACTTCTGACTCAAGATGTTTTCCGACTTAGCATCCCACACCCACCAAGACTCTCAATGAACTATGAGGGAGAAACAAAGACCTTTCTCAGAGAAAGATCTAGGCATGCAGAGCCTTCAGATAGCTTGCTCCCATGTCCTTTTCTGCAGGAAACTACTAAAAGATGTGCTCCATTAACACCAAGGAGCCAGGAACGAAGTTGGTTGCAGAACCAGGGACCCCAACACAGGAGAAGGATTCAGGGGACACTTTGCGTAACAGCCTAAGGGATGCCAAAGATAGATTTCCTTGTTGTAGCTCAGAGAACTACGCTAGAAAGCGGGAAGTCAGAAGGCTCTGGGGGTGATGACATTTGTCCTTAGCAAAATAAATGAGCCTGGCAAAGCACCTGACAAATCTGGTCAGGTGGAAAATTATACTGAGGACAGGGAAAGATTTTGTCAATTATCAAACAAACCAATCGACCTAAATTGATGAAAAAATGAAGTAACAATTAACAGGAAAGAAGATCAAGGTCTACTTATTGGGCCAGCAACAACATGTATTTACCTTATCTGAGAAGGTAGAATGTGGATTTTTAAAAATTGAGATGAAATTGAGGCCAAGAGGGAAGAGAAGAAAACCTTCTCTGAGCCACCGAGAAGCCGATCTCAAGGTTAAGCTGATGACTCAGGAGACGCAAGAGTACAAGTATTTGGGGACAGGGTGATAAACAACAGAAGACCCAGCTGCAGGGTAACAGGGTGAGGGGAGATGAAGCAGGTGCAGGGGTGTAGGCCACTGATTTTCATGGTAAGTCCTTGGCATCACTGGGGACTCCTGGACCCTTCTTGGGCTCTGCATCTATGGATTCAATGTTAAATTAACACAGGCGGAATGTTAAAAAAAAAAAAAAAACACGCATCTATACTGAAACGTGGACACTTTTAAATCTTGTCATTATTCTCCAGATAATACAGTATAAGAAGTATTTGCATTGCATTATATATTATAAGTAATTTAAGATGCTTTAAAGTCTGCAAGAGGATGTAGGTTATATGCAAATAATATGCAGTTTTATTTAAGGAATGTGAGCATTCTCGGATTTTGGTATTTACGTGGGATCCTGGAATTAATTCCCTATGGATACTAGGGATGACTACACTTGGCTTTTCAAAAGATTTACAGGTAATACTTTGATTAAAATAAAACACTGTTCTGAAAAATTTGACGAGGCTCTTGCTCTCTCTTGTACTAAGGAAGGTTTCCCTGACTCCCCTGGTGCCTCGATTCCTTCCCTCTGTGAGTGACCACAGCTCTGGAACTCATGTCCCCAACAATGCTCTTCAACTGAGCGACAAGTGAAAAATGAAGTTGGTTAAGGTGAGAAGAGCTCAACAAAAACCACTTGTGTGGATGCTGAGCTGTGAAGGCCATGTTGCCATTACAGGATATTTGTCTTGAGTGGGGTGTCCCAATGTTCATGGCACTTTATTTCCACTGTGGAGTCGGGTGGGCTGGGCTGAGGTTGTGGGCAGTCGGGTTGGGTATTTAGAGTCACATGCCTGGGCTCCCCACCTCCTTTCAATGACCTGGGGGCCAGTTACTCATCCCAAAACTCATTTCCTTTTCTGAATAGTGAGGCTAAGACAAAAGTACTACTTGGTAGCTGTACTGGTCAGCTTTCCCCTTGCTGGTACGCTCTGCCTGGACACGTACAACTTAAAGGAAGAGAAGTCTATTTTGACTTTTGGTTTCCAAGGGTTCAGTTCATGGTTAGTTGGCTTCAAGGCACAAATGTCATGGGGCAAGTGGGTGGGGCAAAGCTGTTCCCTTCACGATGGCTGGGAATAGTACCTGAGGTCACACCTCTGAGACCTGCCCAGACACACCCAGCAATGCGAGGCTCCCAACTGATAGTACAGCTTAACATTGCATAGTGCTGCCCACCCTCAGAAAAAGGTAGGTGAGGTGCCCAGCACATGGTGGGTGGTTCTTAAACGGATCTTTCTCAGTTGCAGAACGTTCAGGGATGGCAGCTCTTCCTTGGTCCTGTATTTCCTGAATTCTTGTTGACTTCCAGGTCCTGGCCTCAGCTTCCAAGGCCACAGGACACTCGGCGCTCAGCACAGGCACGTGCTATGTTGGCTTAGTGGTTTGTAACACCTAAACATTTTCGGGGACAACCGAGTGACTCCACTTCAAGGTCTGTGCTGAGTCAGTTTCAAGTAGCTTTGCTTGGTTTTTGAACAAAAGTTATTTAGCTGGGAATAGGCTCAACTTGAGGTTTCCATGATTTTCACATGACCTTTAAATACCCCAGATTTGCAGTTTCCTTCTTTTGCTAATGAAAGACTAGATGTCTCAGAAAACAGCACTTTAATTTGATGCCGTCACCCTGTACCTCTCCTGGCTTTCCTCCGTGTTTTCCTGGGCTCCAGGCTGCCCTGCCTCCCCACCACGCTGCAGCCCTCCCTGGCCCCGGGCCACCGCTCCTCCTCCGTGGGAACTGCTTGGGATTCTCTAGGCCCTCCGGAGGCCACGCTTCCTGCAGTCCCCGTTTCAGGCTGTGCTGCAGCCCCTTCCAGCGATGCCCTCCTCCTACCTTGGCTTCAGGTCACTGAAGAGGTCTACTTAATTGGTTGTTAGTATGTTTAAAAACTCTTTAGTGTTTACTGTTGATGCTATGATCATTCCCTAAGGCTCAGGCCTTTCTTTTCCCTAAATTTACTGCTCTTGCTCTTTCTTTACTGATCTTGAATGGCTGAGTGGCCTTCAGTGAGCGCCTCTGCCTGGGCCTCTGTCTTAGCTCTGTCCCATCCCATTCCCTGGACTGTCGGGGGCTTCCTGGGTGGCCTCCTCAAGCCGGCCTGACTTTTGCTCACATCTGAGGCAGACTCACACACCTGTCCCAACCCGTCCCCAATCTTCGACTTGGTCAGTGGCAGCGCAAACTCTGCAGGTTTTCTTTGCTGTTCTCTCTTCCTTCAGCTTTATCTCTTGAACCAGCCCACCCCTCTGACCTCCTCAGGGTGGTCCTCACTGTCCCCAAATATGTGGTCACTCCTCTGTTTTGCTTGGAGCATCAGGGAGGGCACTTTGTCACTGTTGTACTTTTCAAAAAATAAGATTTTCCTTTACCAGTTACGGCCAAGGAATCCAAGGATGATAGGCACTGTCTGCGTCCCGATGATGAGAGGCCTCTCATCTCCCAGAGTCTGTCCACAGATGGTGCGCATGACCTCATTGCTCAATGTCATGCTGAGGACCTGTGCCTCTTCTTGGGCTCAGCTTCACTGGTGGTGTGTGCAGGGGAGTTGTTTCTAGAAGATCCACGGGTCAGCCCCTCTCAAGGTCAGGAAGCTTGAGAGTGCTTGAACCTGGACAACTTGGAGCTCGGGGTGGCCTAGGGGTAGAGCGCTAGGTGTGTGCCATGCACAAGGCGCTGGATTACATTTTAGCGCGGCCAGCGCTAGGGAGACGGACAGAGACTAAATTCTCCAGATTCTTAACAGTATGTCTAAGACAAATCAGCTATCCTCTTGCTTCACTAATGCCTTGTTATGCTAATGAAAAGCCTCTGTCTTCTTCCTGCATCTCACCAAGGAGACTCTCCTCAAGGAGGGGGAGGGAGGAGCATGCCAGCCTGCTGGGGGCCGCTCAAGCTGGAAATTGACCACAGGTGCAAGTTTGGAATTTGACCTCCCCAAGAACAAAGAGCGCCTGGGCAAGCCATGTGAAGAAGCTGCTTCAGCCGGAACCCCTGGCCCCAAAAGCAATCTGAACAATGGGTTGCTAGGACAACGGGGTGTCATGTGATATTGAATTGCTAAAAGGTGTAAATAAATGCTTCTGCAGTGAGGGGCCAGGACCTTTCCTCCCATCAGGAGAGTAAGGACTGCACCTGTCCCCAGCTTTGTCTCTTCTTTATTTTTCTCATCTTCTCGTGGTCCTTCACCCCAAGAACCTCAGGAGCTGCTTGGGTCACGGCACCAGCCTGCCAGGGTCTGGTCACCCTACCCATGCGTGCGCCTTTATGCTGATCCCCAACTTAAGATTGCTGCTTCTCTAAGGTAGGAAGTGAATCGATGGTCATTTCAGGGCTGAAAGTACCATCTGGTGGTCTTCCTCCTATGGTGCCTGACAGGCCCCTTCTCAAAGAGTGATTTTAAATTGATAAAATAACTAAGATTACAAAGGATGGTGATTGATTTGTGACATAGGAATACGATGCATCTTTATTATCACCTTTAAGAACCACTGTAATTTAGAGGCAGAATGTAACACAAATCATATTTTGAAATATCTGCAATATAAGCGATAGGAAATTATTATACCTACTTTGTGGTTTGGAGCCTATATTTATAATGGGAGGAACTGTAAATTTCAGTTAGATTAGTGAGTACAAAAGAGGTTAGTTTTTTCTCACTCAAGTTCATGGGCCCCTGAATTCTGTCTGCAGATTCTGTGAGAGCTTAACCGTGGACCCCATTGAGATCCTTAAGTCCTGCTCCCTTCTGGAAGCTTCCTTGACTGTCACACTTGTCGAGTTTTCCCTCATGCTAAACTTACAATATTTATTCATTCAACAAACATTTCTAAAGACTGCCCAAAATCATGTGAGTCATTGTGTCAGATGTTCGAGGTCTATATCATGATAAGTGAGGAAATAAGCAGTTTTACAACTGGGGGAGAGACATTACTTTCATGCTAACATAATCCCAAACGTAACATGAAAAGTGTAACATAGGAGCTGTATGAAGTATCCCAGAGGGGTCAGAGATTAATATTTCCATTTGGTGAGAGATGGAGGAGGGGAAGTGGCATTTGAACTTGGCCTTGGTGAGAAGGACATAAGCAACTTCTACATGGAAATGATAGTAGATCTTGCTGGCATTTTTTTTTTTTTTTATCTTGCCACAAGTGTGAGTGGTTGTGATTCAGCTTAATAAAGTTTCAATTTTACCATGGTGAGGAAGAGCACCTGTAAACTATTCCATTCTGCCCTATCGGGATAGTTTTCAATTAATCACATGGATATTCAACACTGCACCATAAAATAGGTTTCATGTTAGGTGGTGATGCCTCCCGGCAGGGTAATGTAAGTATACTAAGCCTGCTCAGGGCAGGCTGGGTTCAGCTCCCGTTGGGGCCCTGGGAAGGCCAGGCTGTAGCTCTGCTCCTGCTCTATGCCCAGACTGAAGAGGAAGGTGGGAGGCAGGATGCCGAGAGCCTGCAGCCGCAGTTCAATTCTTTATATGCTTCCTTTGAGCAAGGAATTACCGAGACACCAAAAATTAATACATTTATTTATGACACATGCTAGAGCATCTTGTATATGAGGAGGGAAATTTTAGCTTGGACTCATTTGGTTATAATAACATGTCACAATTGTTTGCCTCTTGTTTAATTAATTACTTTTGGTTTTTTGAGACAGGGTCCTGCTATGTAGCCCAGGCTGGCCTTGGACTCACAGCAATCCTCCTGCCTCAGCCTCCTGAGTGCTGGAATTACAGGCATGCAATACCCATCCGCCTTCTTCATCTTGTAAATGTTTTGACTTTGCCTTGGGATGCCGCCTAGTGATCCCCTGCAGACCTAATGGCCTCCCATCCCTTCACCTCCCACCGGATCACAGCAGTATTTGTGGCAGTTGAGTGCCCTCCTCAATGAAATTCCCTTTGGAGACTGACAGAAGACGATCATCACCAATTCACCTGGGATGTGATCCTGATTGCAGAGTGGGGAAAGGAGGGGGTGATGACATTCCTGGCCAGCTGGCAAGCTGTCCAGGGTCAGCTCCCAGCTCCCAGCCCACTGCACAGCAGGGGAGAATGCACACCAGGACCTGAGACAGAGGGACAAGTGACGCCTGTCTGTCTGGAGGGGGGGAGCTAAGTGTCCACATCCAAAGGGACACGCGGCACCCAACACGGTTGGTAGGACCTGGTGTTTCAGAACCAGCGAAGGGGATTAGACGCCAAAAATTCCAAGAAAAAAAATAGGTCCACCGTGAGAGGTGTCCTGGGCTGCTCCCTGCCACTCTGGGTGTGAGCAGGAGCTGGAGGGCTGCCTGCTCCCCTCACCAGACTGGGCGGCAAGAGGAAGGAGAATTAAACAAAAAAAGATGAATTATCTTTTTGCTATGGAACATGCAGGGTTGAGGCAGAGTCTTGCAAAACTGCCTTGGCTGACCTGGGTTCTTCTAATCCTAAGAATTTAGACCAGCCCATCCTTGGCCAGTAAATTTTTCTGTGTGAAATTGGCTTTTGTTGCTTTTTGATTCAGCATTTACCTTTTCCCAATGTATAGATACCCAGTAGTTACTGCCTTCTTGGTTAAGTTTTTTTTGTTTTTCTCTTCTGAAAAGCATGCACATATGGGATTGGCAAAGTGCAAAAGAGGTAACTACAGGACTTTGGGATTTTATATCTGCATCGAGGTGACCCTGGCCACAAGGGCTCTGACGAGCATTTTCATGAGACGGTCTCATATCTGAGAAGCAAAAGGCTCGTGCTTTGATTCCTCTGAGGCCACGTGGGCTATCTGAGACATCACAGGTATATCTGAGATGTGAGGCATGCTAGACAGACAGGAGAGATCCCAGGAAACCATTTTATTCTTGAGGCTCAAGATCAAAATGAACATACAAGTCTGTTATTCTCGTCATCATGGGATGCAATGTCCATCGGCTCTCCCGTGCCACCTTCACCCATGCGTCACTCGCCAGTGACCCCCCAGACTACACAGGCATTGGCTAATGTACCATAGGAGATAAGTTTTTTTTTTCCTGACTGAGAGCGAGGGAAAGTTCTAGAACTGCGAGAGCCGTAGACTTGGGAAAGGTTGGCCCCCAAGGCCCTGTTCAGTGGGGAAAGGTGAGGAGGGATGAACTGGCAATGCCAACGTGCGGAGTGACACCCACTTCATACACAAGGAAACTGAGGCTTAGCACCCCACCCCCCTGTGCCATTCAGCAAACAGGCTCAGTGTGTGTGTGTGTGTGTGTGTGTGTGTGTGTGTGTGTGTATAAAGCAGGGCACAGAGACACATGCCAGCCTCTGTCTCTCCTGTAACAGGCCATTCTGAATTTCTGCCCTCAACACAGGCCCGAGAGAGGATCAAGTGAGAACCAGGAGAGCCATTTTCAGCTGAGGCATCTCTTCCACTCTGTGAAATGCAAAGTTGGAAGGGGCCCTGTGTAGAGCCCCCAGTGTGCCCAGAGAGGGACTTCAGGGAGGGGGACCAGAGAACTGAGCTGAGGAGCTAGTGGAGTCCGAAGCCAAAGTGGAGAGGCTCAGGTTTTCTTGTTCCCGTCAGTGCGCGGCTTGTCTTCTGACTGGACCCTCTGGCTGGCTGAGGACTCTGCTCAGGCCCACCTGCTGCTAGGGGACTGGGGGGACTGGGGGGACTCAGGCACAAACAGGCTTCTGGATAGCATTTGGAGTCCTTAGAGCAGTTAGAGTCCTTCCTCCACAGCCAGACCCAGGCGGCCTCCTGCCCAACCTGAGCAGGCTGAGGGGCCCAGGACATCGGCTCACCTTCCTGCAGGGTGGAAGAGAGGGCCCAAGAATAACTGTGGAATGGGTAAAGGAGGAACAGGAGGACGGGGAAGAGGAGGAGATGGAGAAGTGAAGAGTCCTGATGAGATACTGAACTGTACTACAGAAGAGAAAAACAGCCTTCAAATAAATCTGTGAACTCCTGGACAGTGCAAAGCAAACTCTGTTACTTCTAAGTTATTTTATTTCCTGTAGCCAGTGGATCAGGATAGTGTATTTGGGACAAGCCCTAATGATAAAAAATTTCCGAACAAAGATAGATGGAAACTCAGGCACAACCAATGGATATAGATTGAAATTTTGAATAAAATAAATCATCAGTCTAAATTTCCTAGACTCGGACTTGGTTTCTTTAGAGTGTCACATACATGGCAAAAAACAACTCTAAAAAGCCACTGAAACTACATTGCTTTATTAAAAGCATGGGCAAAAGGAAAATAGTGCTTCTGTCATGTTGAATGAGTATAATGCTCTGGATAGAAAGCATTACTCATGTTTATGACTTTAGTGGCACTTAATAATAACCATGTGCCATATACAACTACCTTTCTCTATTTCTTGAAGAATTTAGCATTTATTTTATGCAAAAAAGAAAAAGATGTGATGTTTGGTAGATTAAAGGTGTTCAGTACAGTCTGAGCTAGTTTATTTTCAGTTTATAACAGGCTTAGCTGGAGGTAAGTAAGTCAAGAAGTGTCTGTAAATATGAATCTTTTGTATGTCCCAGAATCTAGACTAGGACTGGGAAGGGCATGCAATCTGTGCTTATTCATTTTGTTTATAATGGAAGCCCCTTGTATCAGTTATTGCCATGTAACAAACAATCTTCCAATTCAGAAGTTTTAAGCAACAACCTGTAATTTCTTATGGATCATTTTAGTGGTTCTGCTGATCCAAGCCAAGCCTGGCTGGTCCCAGGTGGGCTCTGTGACCACTGGCATGTTGGCCAGGATCGGCCGAGCCAGGCTGGGACCACTTGACATGATCCTCTATATTCTTTTTCGAGTTGTGTTTACTTCAAACTTGCTCCTAGTCCAATGGCCAAAACAAGTCACAGTGCCAAGCCAGTGTAATTACGGGAAAACATTACCCAAGGGCAAGGAGACACATAAAACACAGGTGCCATTAATGTAATCAACCTATCACAGTCTTCATAATTAAATAAAAGACCAGTCTCAAACCCTTCGTGGAATGAGACAGACCTAAATCAGTGGATAAATTCATAAATTTAAGACTTATAGTATGAGATGCAATTTACAAAGTCAACCAGTGATAGGATCTCTCCTGTGGCTCCCAAGCGTTTGAAGGGTGCTATCTGCATTGGCCGGCTGGATTGTCCTTTTGTTATAATTTTGTAACCAGAATGCAAACCCATTGGCTTGCCCTTTTCTGTTTGATGTTCCATCAGTTAAACATCCCACACAATTTTTCATAGAGATGTTTCTTTTTCCCCCGAGGACATCCGCAGCAACCTGGAACACACTTTCCTTGGTACTTGACTCGAAGTTGCTATAAATATCAGGCATTCTGTTAGCAGCTCGGGGTCATGGCTCAGGTCTCCTGAACCAACATCGATCTCCCCTGTGCCTTGAGTTCTCTCAGTGAGAGGCAGCAGCAGGGCGAGGAAAGTGAAGTATAAAATGCACGTCAAGAAAATGTAGGTGGGCTAAAGCACAGACGTGAAGAGGGAAGGCACCGTCAAGGTGTGAACGTCACCAGGGGACCTCCAAAGACCCTGCCTCCAAATACCATCGACATACGAATTTGGAGATTTAAGTTTTCACCACGTGAACTTTTGGGGAACACAGTCAAACCACAGCACAAGGTAATGCTTGATGAATTTTCTTACAAAGATGAAATTATCTTACAAAGATAAAAAAAGAATCAGCATGCAGTTACTAACAGTTGGCGTATGGTCCACTTTGTTGACAGAGATCTCCTAGGAAGCCTGTTTTCTAAGGAGCCTTGCTCCTAACTAGAGAGCCAGTGTAAGCCCCAGTTTCTCCGTCCATGAAGTGGAGTGGTTAATATTGCCCAGGACTCGATTCACAGCCTTTTTTTGACAACTAAGTATCATATTGCAAAGAAAACCCCTTCGCAAAAATAATTTAAAATCTCCTTGAACAAATATCGTATGGCTTCACCTCTAAGTGGGATCTGAAAATGTCACTCTTAGAAGCAGAGAATAGCATGGTTGGTGTATGAAGGGGATTGGTGTATGAAGTGCGGTAGGTGGAGATGCTGGTCAGAGGTATGTAGTTATATTTGCGTGATGTGTTCTGGAGAGACAGCAGCTAACCATACTGCATCATATTCCGTAGTGTCCGAAAACGCTGAAGGCCCTGGTGGGGGTGTGCATTGCATTTATTATGCACTTTATTTCTATTTTTATTACCTTAGAGTCTTAGAAGGAGCACACAGCTTAGCTCCCTCGCAGGCACGGTACCCATAGCGTTTGAGTTCCTATGAGAATCTAACGCTGCTGCTGATCCGACAGGAGTGGGAGCTGAGGCTGTCAGGTGAGTCATGGGAGAGGCTGTAAGTATGGAAGAAGCTTTGCTTGCCTCCTGCTGTGTGGTCTGGTAGTGGTCAGTGGCTGGGAAGTGGGGAGCCCTGATAGATGTGACAGGACTAGTAAGAATAGATTGTGACTCATCTTGTTTATGAAAGTCACTATTCGAGGTATTAGATATGTTCATTATTTCAGTTGTGGCAAATGCTTCACAGTGTGCACGCATATCAGAACATCACATTGTACAACCTTAAATGTAGAGGATTTTTGTCAATTACATATCAATAAGGCTGAGAGAAATGACACTGTGGAGCAGGAGTCTGTCTCTCGGCTTGTTCTGGGTATTTGTTCCGTTGTCTCCCGTTTTCCCTGTGACCCTTGAGTTCCACGGTGCTGCTCGGCCAAACTGGTCTGCATACAGCAGATTGGACGCCCTTCTGGGCCTGCCATCTTCATCCTCTATATGTGGCTCAAAATTTTCTAGAAGTACATCACTGAGCCTTGTGATTCCTACCTGGAGTATAATGTTCACTGTTCTAACATATTGATCTGGTTTTTTTCCCTGCAAATCTTCCCTGATTGACACCGGACATGTGGTTTGAGTATCTGGTTCTGGTTTGTATATGTGTATGGTGGTCATTTTTCCAGTGAGATCATATACTCCTAAAACAGTGTTTCGAATTTAGTAAAAATAAAGATAAAAACATCCTCTTGAACACATTGCTATGCTTGTGGGCCCCTGCTGGGAGAGACCACATGGAGCTCTGCTCCTGTGGCCAGCGGTGAAGGAATTAGAATTACAGGAGTGTGCCCATCCAGGTGTTGCTTCTGCAGGCTCAAGGTGCTCTTTTAATTGGGGCATCAGGCTGTCTTGAAATAGACAAGAATTCTAGAAACATGCCTTCGTGCCTGATTCATCGCTTAAACTCGGTCGCTGACTCATTCTCCCCTTGATAGGTCTTCAGCAGTAACTTTTATTACATCATGTAGTGTTTTTTTCCCCTTGATTCTCTTTCAACAGTTTTGTTTATCATCTTGGTGACTGGGCTGGCTCACCACAGAGACTTTTTATGTAAAATTTTCTGGACTGTAGATACAGGAGCTGAGGTTTTCATGTGTCAATCAATATGTCCACGCCTACCCCAGGCTGTGGACTTGAAATACAGTGACGCAAAGGATACTTTTGACTTTGTGTCTCATAGATCTTATTTAATGACCTCAGCTGCCTTACAAAGTGGATCGGGCTCTGTTTCTTTTTTAAAAAAATCCAGGAACAGAGGTTCAGAGAGGGGACCGAAACTTGCCCAGGGCCATACAGCAGATGGCACCACTGGCCCCAAAGCCTCTTCCTCCCTGATGCCCGGACCTTTTGCCATCCATCTGCAGTGTCTGCTTTCTCTGTTGCTGGCCTTGGCAGTATAGCTTGCTCTGGCCAATGGGATAGTGACAAATGGGGTGTGAGTAAAACTTAAAAAATACAAGTGCAATCCGTTGTGCTGGCCTCCTGTCCTGTATCCCATCATTGCCATGGGAACGTGCCTGGGCTAGCGTACGGGAGACGGGAGAGTGAGCATGTGTGGAGCAGAGTCTTACCCTCACTGTCCTGGCTGAGGCCATCCGGGTTCAGCCCATGGCGAGTGGCACCCACATCAGGGACTCTGTTAGCGTTTTTTGGCCACTAAAAGAGTAAAATATAAAAGTAAAAGTGGCCTTTATTCTAAGCACACGGAGAGGAGCCCAAGACTGACAGAGGTCTGGCTTTCTCTGATCGGAACATGGGGTGTGGGATATTTATATAACCTTTGACCGGGGGTGGCGCTTAGGGCGGGCATTGATGACTCTAAAGGAGCTGATTAGAATTTTCTTCGAGCACACAGAAAGGAAAAAGGAAGTTGTAATAGGGGAACAAGGAAGCGACTTCTGGGTAAATATCTCTGATTTGGCCTTCCACCGCTATAATGTCCTGTAACATTCTAGGGCAAAACTCTTTCAGACTGCAACCATGATCAGCAGCCCTCTAGCCACGTGTTCCCAATACAGGAGCAATAAATGTGTGTCACTGGGGTTTGCTGGTTGTTTTATCACAGCATGATCCAGGCTATGCCATGACAGGAAATCAGTAGGCCGGAAAGCGCAGCTCTTTGGAACGGGGCTCTGACTTTGGTTCCCACCTCTGCTATGTGGAATGTGTGTTCCTTTTCAGGATTTAAATTTCCTTATCTTTCAAATGAAGTAATAATACTTCCCAGAGGTGCTGGGAAGGTTAAATATAAGGGAATGTGAACAAATGTCCAGGAAATGCTGGTTTCTCACAACAAACAACTAGGAGATATGCAGTCCAGGACGGAGATTGTCCCAGAGTGAAGCAGCTCAGAGGTGATCGTCCAGGCCGGCATAGCCTGGGTCCAACCTCACAAGAAGACGCTGCTTTCCTGAGTCCTCCGTGGCAGGCAGCGCGTGTGGAGGAGGATGGGTCTTTGAAAGCAGAATGGTACTTAACTTCAGGGGGCTGACAGCCAGGCTTTGCCCCAGTGATTTGCCTACACCGGTGGCAGCAAGTTGGGGAAGAGGCCTTGGTTTCTGCCCTGGGGGTGGGTTTGATGCAGATCAGGGTTCTCCAGTCTCTGCTGAGCACAGTGGCTTGCTGGGGCTCTGTGCCTTTGCTGTTTTCCTGGGTGTGAGTGCACTTTGTGAGTGCATTGTAGAGGACCATCCTTCAGGAAATGTGACTGTTTCCCCAGGAGGGACTGCTTTGTCGCTTGGCCTTCTTTTTTTGGGCCTCCTGCAGAGCTGTCCTTTCCCTTCTTTTGAAGCCATTGTTTCCTTGACATGAAAAATGTATTCAGGTAAGCTCAGGGCTAATTATCTCCAGGGAGAAGGCAAAATAAAATGAACCTGAGGCTGAAAGAAGAAACAATCTACTCTGTAAACTCTAAGAAGGCATATCACACATTTTGGGGGAAAAAAAAAAAAAAGGCAGGCTGAAGGAAAAGTTTTCTTCCTAAACAAAATGTGGGCTATTTTTACCCAGGTTCACCCTTTCTGCCTTTTCTCCCCTCTACTGTCCCACATCGCTCCTTCCTGGAAGGTGGGGGTGGGTAACAGGAAGCTTGAAGACATTGAATTCTTCTCCGGACTCAATGTGACCTTCAGCTTCTCACCAGAAAAGCTGTTTTTTTTTAAACCAGCATTTATTTACGATTATCCCTTACAGTCACATGGGTTAACTGGGCTACACTGGGAGGTTCTTTCTTACCGGCTTCTCATAGTCTTGTAATCCACAAATGAGCCTCTTGTAATCCACAAATGAGCCCCCAAGCTCGAGTTTAAAGACTGAGGCAAAATCATATTTTAAAAAGCAGTGCTGGTTAATTTTACCCTGGGCCCAGCGACACAGTGCAGCTGGAGACTGCAAAAGCTGTGTGTCCTTCCTCCACACTTGTCACCTTTAAGTACATGTCACAATTTACAAAGTAAGGGGGTCGTGGGCGTGGGTCAGGAAAACTTTAATGAGAAGACCTTTGTTTTCCTTAGGAGAGGACAGAGCAGTCTAACAGTAATTAACAACCCCTGTTAGCTTATTTTAGCACTACATCTGTTATTTGTAGAGGGCAACAATGGTTAACATTATCAATTAGGTAAGGTTTTACAATTCTTTACAGAGGAGAGCATTGATTAACGTATCAATTAGGTCACCCAGAGGGGGAAAGAAAACACATACAGTAAGGCCCTGTTACAGGTATTTTGGTATAATATAAATATAACAAAGTTCTTTTTTCTAGAGTACAACAATAGTACCTGGCATCTGAGATGGGGCACCCCAAGGCATCTAGGTGGGAGCAGCATGGTATATAACTTTGGAGACAGCGCTACATTCTGATTTCTTTTGATGCAAAAATTGTGTATTTCACAACCGGAATCCTCTGTTACTGTTGTTACTGAATCAGATGTGAATTTATGAAGCTGAGCAGACAGCTTGCAGGGCCCAGGCACAGAGGAGGCTCTGTGCCATGCTCAGGACAGAGACACAGGATGGTGGTGGTGAGAAGCTCAGGGCCGCAGGGGCAGTGCCACCTATCTGTGCTTGCTGGGTCTGGCTGTGCCCACCTTGGGCTCTGCACCTCTACCCTTTGTCGCTTCACAGTTACGATGCCAGGCATGTGAAAGGGGAGAGAAATTACGGCTCCTGCTTCATATTCATGTGAGGTGCTGAGTTATGGGGAGAGCTGGGACAGTCATGCATGGGAATGGGTGTTGAATGCCAGATGAAGATCATGGTCATGAGGTGCTAGAGGCCTTCAGGGGAGGAGGCTGGGCGAGGAAAGTCTTCCTAGAGCAAGTATCTCAGGATCCAGCTCTTGAGAGAGGAGTAAGAATCAGCCAGGGAAGGTGGGGGAGGGGCATTTTGGGAGACCATGGGATGCAGGGAGAGGGGAGGCTGTGTGTCGGACAGGAGGTACAGGCGGGGCTCAGAGCCAGGCAGGACCTTTGAGGACTGGCAGCAATATTCCTGCTCTCCTGGAGAAGGACACAGAAGCTTGGAAGTATCAAGGTGACATATTTGAACCCAGGATTGTCTGGCTTCTCAGTCTCATCCCCTTTCCACCAGCTGTCATCTAATTGCAGTTCCTGCCCCTGGGACTCCCTAGTCTCTGTCCTGTGTCTCACAGGCTCCTGGCAGACTAAGGGTGCTGCTTCTCTGCACCATTTATTGTAATGACTTCAATTAAACCGTCTTGTGCTGGATCAGTGAACAGCTCTAGGGAGTTGGTGAGCAGCCCGGCTACCAGGGAAACAGAGTCCCCTCCTCTCGTCCCTGCCCACTCCTGGTCTGGGTTCTTGTCCATATCCCTGGAGAGACTCCAGAGAGAAAACGGGAATGAGAGCAGGCATCAGATCACAAGGAGACAAGGCAATGAGCATGTCCTAACTGCCTGGGCCAGTGGGGCGTGGGTGGACCTGCAGTGTCCTTTCCCGCTGCCCTCGGTCCCACGGATCTGCAGCTGAGGCTCCAGCCAGGATGCCATGAACCTTTATCCCGAGGCTCAGGGGCTAATGGCCTTGTCCTGACTTGCTCTATGGCCTTGGCTAAGTTGCCTTCATTCTTCGAGGTGTGGAGCCTATTGTGAGCCTATACTTTTCCATCCGTCCTCCATAGTTCAGGGTCTCCCCTCCTCTGCACAGCTCTGTGCAGCAGAAAGCTGATTGGGAGAGGAGGTCACAGGCTCCTCTGTGGTCTGCTCCAGCGTGATCTGGCTTGTGGAAAATTAGGGGTGGGAGGTGGGCGAGGCCAGAGGCTTCCCTCCCTGACCCCTCTATGCTTTGATGCCCTCTGCTTGGGCACAGCTCATGCCAAGCAGCCCTTCCTACTACCCTGCCCTTCCTGGGTCCCAGCACCACTCCTAGAGGCTTTGGGGTGGTTTCCAGCAGTTTGCAATCTCTGGGTTTCCTGGCATCTTTCTCAGTTTCTTTAATCCTGTGCAGCTCTCTGTAAATAGTTCGTCCTCATTAAGGGCTCTTCAGTTAAACTATTGGAGCAGGGTTCTGTTTCCTGCTGGGGTGGTGATGAATGGGCCTGAGAGGCCCCTTCCAAATGGGAAATCTCACACACTTGTGAGGGGCAGCTGCAAGGGGCCACACAATCCTCGGGGCAGTAGCCTGGTGATCCTAGTAGAGAGGGAGTAGGTGACTTTTCCTTCCCTTCCCTTCCTATGGTCCTCAGTCTTAATTCATTTTTTAAAAATGTGACTTTATTGAAGTGTTGCCTCCATACACCAAACTGCAGAAAGCATCCAATTTGATGACTGTCCATGTGCATCCCTTTCAAAATTTGATGACTGTCCACGTGTATCCCTTTCAAAATTCACGTCGAAGGCTTAATCCCTTCATGGTGGTATTCAGAAAGGGGGCCTTTAGGGATGTGGTTAAGAAACAAGGGCTCAAGCCTCGCCTTGCATGGGATTAATGCCCATTTGACAGAGGCTTTGTAGAGCTGCCTATCCTTTCTCCCATGCAGGGACACAGTGTTCATCCCTCTGGAGGACGTAGCAATGAGGTGCCACCTTGGAAGCAGAGACAAGCGCTCCATAGACAGAATCTGCCAGTCTATTACCTGGATTTCCGCAACCAGAACTGTGAGAAACAAATCTTTATCATTTGCAAAGCACTCAGCCTGATGTGGTTTGTTATAGCAGCAGAAATGGACTACAACCATTATCTTTTCCGTGTAGCAAGTGTTCTAAACCTTTTTTCTCCTCCCTGAAAGTTCACAAGCCTCGGATCTGGTCATGCCACTGCCCTACTCAAAACCCTTGCTTTGTGCTCTTTTTCTTTGAGGTTAATGGCCCTGGTTCTTTAGATGATGTCCAAAATCTTCCCAGATGGATGAGGCGCTGTGTCTCAGGTCCCATGGATGCCCCAGCAGGAGTGAACTGCTTAGGTTCTCTTCAAGCTCTCCCTTTTTTCTTCCCTGTCACCAAAGTCCATCCCCAGATCCTTTTGATTCTCCCTCCAAACGTGCTCTAACTTAGATCCCCTTACTTCGGAGACCCCAGGAAGCACTTTTGGGAAGCATTATCTTAAAAGATAACTTAGACCCTATCTTAGTTACTTTTCTTTTATTGCTGAGACAAAATATCTGACACTCAAAATTAAGGAAGGAAAAGTTTATGGAGCTCACAGTTTGTGGAGGTTTCAGTCTGTCACCATCTGGCTCTAAGGCAGGGTGGCATGGCACAGGGGCAACACTTCCAGAAGGCAGAAAATAGCAAGGCGACAGGAGGAAAAAGGGGAACAAGCCTCTTTTCCTCTCTTATATTGTAAGTAGGTTATGCATCCCCTCCACAGGGTGCGGGTAGCACTCAAACCGTCTCCTTGCCCTTCTCTTGCGCAGGATGAGAATGTTTACAAAGTGAGGACCTGGCCCCATGCTAAATCCCTTAAACATCTAAAGTTTTCAAGTCCACACAATGAACAAAGTCCTAGGGCAGTAAGGGCATGTTCTATGCACACCAGGATGTAGAACTGCAGAGTTACTTAAGCTTCTATGTGTCTTAAATCGACACAATGTATCAACTATAACATACCCTAAAAAGGGAGAATGGAAATTTTGGAATGTATCCACTCATGTTGACAACTGCAGAAATCCCCAAGGGCCTTATTTTCTTTCTAGGTGCCTTTTACCTCTTATTTGGATTGACTAGCATGGCACAACCAGTATAAACCGTGAGTTGGGCTCAGCAAGACTTTCCATAAAGCAAGAGGATTTGCTTTGCCCTCTTGAGGTCGGGTCTGGAAGCTTCTCCTGGAGCTCATTTTGTTATGGCTCCCTTAAATGAAGGCTTGCCATGGAGGAACGTCTGTCTGTGAACCTGATTCCAAAATGGAGTGGCCTAGGAGAAATCTGTCAGCTGACAGGTGCCTGTCGTTTCCTCTGGGGAGGACAGGACTTTTGCCTTTGCTCACTAGACTGGCTTCTTTTCATTGGCCAGAGATATTGTTTTAAGTGAGCTTTCCGTGCTTATCCCTCTCCAAAGGCTTTAGAATTAAAAACAAACAGATGAAACCATCCATGCCCAAGGAGATGCAGGCCCTCACAGACCTCCCCCTTGGAGCCCCTTCCTGGCTCCAGTCTATTTCCTTCAGCTTTTCTTCTGGTCCTTAAAGCAAGTTCCTTCTAGAAAGTTCTTTGCACGGACTGTCTCTTTCCCTCTGCTATGGTTTGGATATAGGGTGTCCTGAAATGTCCATGTCTTAGGGTTTGGTCTCTGGTGTGATGCTATGAGGTGGTGGAACCTCATGGAAGTCTTAGGTCATTGCATGCATGCCCCCTGAAAGGGATTGTGGGATCTTGGCCTGTGTCCCCCTTTTTAAGCATCCGGTTCTTGATGTGAACAGTTCGTGGTAATGTGTGCTCCCTGCTGTTGCCATCTGGTGCCCTCACAAGAGGCTCCCAGAAACAGGGCGGCACAGTCTGAGATTAGAACTCCAGAAGGATGGGTTAAATAAATCCTTTCTCCTTTGGGTTTTTATATATTGATTGCTTCAGGTATTTTATTATATAATGCAGAGCTGACTAATACACACTGGCACAGTCTTCCTCAGCCCTTTGTATGGATAGAAATCATTTCTTTTTCTGCGTGAAATCTCACCTTCTAGAGAGATCTGCCATTACTACTTAGTCAAAAGTAGCCAAAGACTGATTTATTGCTTCTTTAGCTATGTGAATTATGAAGTGGAAATAAACTAGTGAACGAGTGGCTCATTTGGGACTGTCTTCTCTTTTGTCTTAGGTCACTCTGGTCTGGATTAGCCCTTTTCTCAAGCCCTTCCTCCCGGAAGCACATCCTCTCCTCTAATACAAAAGCCCTTATGCACAGAGGCTACAATATCAATCATGTCTCCTCAAGTCATGCAGAGTTTCTGCTTCTCTCCATCGCCATCGCGGCCACCTAGGCCAGCCACTGCCCTGTCTCTAAGCTGTATTGTTGCAGCAGAATCCGGGTCTTACGCAAGTCCTGATGACCTGTCACCTAGGACTGACTGAGTTCTCTGGCGTCTCTCTCGCCACCATTAGATTCTTCCTCATTAAACAAATGAATCACAATCCTAATTAATTTGAGCAACAGAATTTATGTAACTGCTCCCAGCAGGATGTCTGCTCTCAGTCGGCAATGAGATTAATTCTCTTCTCTGGGAAATTCCAGCTGTGCTGGTCAATAAACTCTAATGATGACTGAAATCTCTCATCTGTCTCTACTCAGGGCAGGTAACCTCTGTTACCCAGACACCTGTGAGCTTGGTGGCGTGCCCCGGGCACCAGGTAGACAGGGGCAAGAATGTCTCAGCCAGATGAATCCTGACTCAGCTACAGCACACAGTGAGTGCTCAGTTCAGCGCAGAGCTGCCCATGCCCCTGAATCACTTAAAAAGTGCACGGGAAGTGTTTAATTTCTATTTATGGAATGAATAAAGGAGACTATGTGCTGCTCAGAAGCTTCGGAAATGGTGCCAGGATCCTGAATTGCACACCGAGCCCTCTGGCTCTTTTTATCTTTAACATCATCTAGGTCCCGTGCCCCTGACCATGCCCGTGCCCCTGACCGTGCCCGTGCCCCTGACCGTGCCCGTGCCGCTTCAGTCTTTCTATTTTCCCCAGCCTTCTGGACCAGAGATTGGGCCTCAGTGCTGCTAGCCCTCCTACCCTGGGATAGCTTGAGCTTCTTTGACTCAAAAGAAACTTCATGGCTAGATGCATGGGAAGGAAGGGTAGCAAAGCAGAAAGTGTCCTGGAATTAGTTCTTCTTCTGTGCTGCCGCATATTCATTATAATTCACCTTCTGTTCTTAGCCTTTCTTGCCTGTGCAAACCACCCGAGCTTCTTGAATAGATAAAAGAAAACTTGGTGAGAACGTATCCTGGGCTGCCTGACTCAATCAAGGACAGGCAATGTTTTGGGCAGTGGTGCTCAAGGCACAGGATCTCTGCTCCCAGAGAATTCAATTTCTAGGAGACAACAGCAGGCAGGCACGTATGTGTTTTTAGTCAGGGATCCGTGTTCAGCAAAAATGAAATAGAAAAATGTTAAGAAGGACTGACACAAGTGAGAGAGTTTTGTGAGGTGTCGAGTTGTGACCTAGTAACATGGCCCCAACCATGTGGAGGCCTGAGGGGATTGGCTTTCCAGCAAGAGGGAAAAGCTACCACAAAGCCCCAAACTGGGACTGAACTTGCTAGGCCTATTTGGGAGTCGCTTGGTATCATGTGGGTGAATGGGCAGGTGAGATTTGAACCCAGGTCTCTCACCTTTAAGAGTACAGTACCTGTTGTGATAGCACAAAAATAAAGTGTAAGACAAAGCAAATGGGGATGAAGTGATGGGGAATAGATCCCAGGGGGTCTCCAGATAATGCAGGATTCACCTGTCTCTGCCTGACTGCAGAAACTGGCTTTGGCTGTCAGTATCAGGGACCCTATGTCTTGATAGCTCCTCTCAGGGCCAATTTAATTTCCATCTTCACTTTTAACAGGAAGAACCAAGCATTTTTACGATTTGGAATTTTTTCCTGGCTGTAAAACAAATTTGTTGTAGAAGACAAAAATCATCAGCTATAAACCGGGTGTAGTGGCACACACCTATAATCCCAACACTCCGGGAGACTGAGGCAGGAGGATTGCAAGTTTGAGGAGACAGCCTGGACAATTTAATTTGGTGGGACCCCATCTCAAAATAAACAAGGGCTGGAGACGTAGCTCAGTGAGAAAGCCTAGGTTCAATCCCCAGTGTAACAAACAAAGAAACAAACCAGGCAAGAAACAGGCAAAATCCCCAGATATAATTTTAACTTCTGGAAATTTTGGTAAATCCTTAAACACATAGATACTGCATAAGATTATGAACATACAGCTTTGAGATATGTTTTTTCTCTCCAGTCATGAAGCATAACTTTTAGTACTAGTGAATGCCACATCCCAAGTCCTTTTAATTGTTATTTTTAGTTTTTGCAGTAGTGGGGTTGAATTCAGTGCCTTCACATGCAATTATATCCCCAGCCCTTTATTTTTTTGAGACACCTTCTTCCTAAGTTACCAAGTTACCCAGGCTGAGCTTGAACTTGTGGTCTTCCTGACTCAGCCTCTTTCTCTAAAGCCAGGGTTTCCCTAAGTTTCCCAGGCTGTCCTCAAACTTGTGATCTGTCTGCTCCAACATTGTGAATAGCTGGGATTACAGGTATATGCCACCACACCCCGCTTTCAAATGTATTTTTTAAATAGCAACATAAAAGTTCAGTCAAGGACCAATGAATGTAAATATTTTTGGGTTTTTACTAATAACGAAGAATTTGCTTACATGTGCGTCTTTGTTACACAACGTGCAGTTACTGGACGAGGAGAAATGTACCCCCCTCAGGCCACAAGTCCAATGTCTGGGGAAACCATTTTCTTGGTGCATTTGCACTCCAAACATCATGACTGTATTGCACAGTTCAGTATCAGGCTCTTGACAAACAGACATTGTCACATTTCCCCCAAGTTTTCTTATGGTTTGTCTCCCAAGGTTCAATTATGGGAGGCGTGGCTGTCAGGGTGGTGATGTGAGAGGGGGGCAGAGAGGAGGCTCCCGGGAAGAATTCACATCCTACTTCACATGGGATGCTCAGTTGGTTCTTGTCAGAGGGTTGTGTTAAGGAAAGAGCAAGCCTGGAGCCACCATGTTCTCTGGCTTCCTGTCTGGTGATAAGACCTTCCTCTGTCAGAGGAGCTCACGCACCATGATGCCATTTCCCATAATTCCTCATCAGAGCCTGAATCAATGGGGTCACACAATGTTGGTCTCTCAGTTGCCTAAACTATGAGGTAAATCAACTTTTGTTTTACAAAGCAGCCTGCCTCAGTTATTTCAACTAGGAAAAGCAGGAAAGGGAAATGCACTTTGATGCATTATGAAACGATAAACTTTACTGCAGACTCATGAATGCTCTCCGGCATTTTTATTAAATAACACACTGGTAGGCAGATGAGGCAAATAGAATCGGCCTGGTTTCAGCACGCCTGTGTGTTTATATTTTGTTTCTGGGAGCGTTGCCATGGCAGCAGGAGGTAGTGGTTCTCATTCTTGAGGGTGTTGTAGGGAGGACAAAGTAGTAATAGGCTTGGAGAATGGCACCAAGGAAGTGACTAAGCAGGCATTTATAGACTTAGGTGGGGGATAATATTCACCCTGGCTAGGGTGGGAAGGTAGACTGTTTTTGTAGCAGGTGCACAGGTTAAACTCCTCCTTTGGACCACTATCATCCCCACCTCTTCCCCCAGTTTCTATTTGGCCTGAGAATATAAACATCAAAATACAGCCCAAGAGGAAGACACAGGAAAAGAGAACAGTATATTAGACAAGAGGAAAAAGTTGGGGTGAGGGAGATGGATGCTTTGATGCTTAAGCAGCTTGGGGTACTTTTTTGGGTCTGGGAAAAATTATTAAGCACCACAGGTGACGACCTCTAAGTCACAAGGGCCAATGTCAAGTATTCAGATATGGCATGGGCCACAGGAATAGCACAGAAATAGACCATCCCTCTGAACTGATTTGGTGCCCTCTTGCTGAAAAGCAATCTCTCAAATTTTCTGGAAGCTGATTGCTTCTCTGTGGAGCAGGTGATGAAGAGCCAGGGCCAGGGAACAGTCCTTTGGAAAGAATCCTCCCTCTGGGGACGGAGTGTCAAGTATAACTTCAAGTGGAGAGTGAGAGATTTGGGAGGTGGGAGAAGGGCTGGGCAGAGACTACAGGAACAGGAGGACAGAAAGATGAGGGCTACACACAGAAGAGCTTCCCCATCTGCTTCTTGCTGCCAACTGCTTATTCTGTGCTCTCCGTGGGCTACAGTAAAGGGCATTCTTGGATCCATTGTAAAAGCCTAACAGTCATTACCACCTTCTGAGGCGCTGGAGGAGGAGGTAGCAAAGTCAAGGTTCTCACTCTTCATACGGGTAGAGACCCTCGCTCAACTTAGAGAGAAGAGAATGAACTTTTCAAAAGGATCTGTTGAGGGATACTCCTGCAACCGTTCACACGGTCCAGGGCCTTTGGCTTGACGGTTGCCCAACCTCTTTTTTTTTGCAGAGGCGTGCTGTTCATTGGCTCAGAAGAAGTGATTGACAGGCCAATAGCTCAATGAATGACGACTCTTGGAAGCGCAGGGACCGTTACCAACTAGTTCTCTTATCGCGAGAAGCTGGAGTAACGATTTCCCCTCCCCCAAAATCTTGTTAGTCGTTTCTCATTTTAATTTCAGCATGTTACTGCAGGGTGAAACGCTGCTTTCTTCCCTAAAGAAGGAACACGTTTGGGGGTGGGGTAGTGTGTGGTCTAAAAGTCTAGATGAGGCCTCCAGGAGAATACATCAATGTCTTCCTGACACTTAATTCTGAGTACTGAGTCACTTAATTCTTTCATTAAGAATATGGTGGGAATGTGGACAAGACAGAGGAGAGGTTGCAGGTTGTTGGGGACAGTTCTTAGGTGGTCCTCGGTAGGCCTGGGTGGGTCCTGGCTCATGGGTCAAATGCTGGGGTCTCCAACGGGGGTCTAGGAATAGGAGACAGACCGGCAGGAAGAGGCATAGTGGATGTGGTGTTCTTGCTCATGGAAACAACTTCTTTGCCAGGGTGTCTCATCATGAGCTCCTTAGATAGCTCCTATCTCAGGAAATGGGAAACCTGGGCTTTCTTGAGGGTATAGAGATGCAGCTTCAGAAAAGACGGAGTGGCCTGGGCAAGGATGGCAATAGATAAGCTTGTAGCTGTTTAAGAGGATGGAGTCAGAGGGGGAGCATGAGACAGGGACATACCATATTAATATGATAATTGAGGCGTGACATGGACCAATGATGGGGACTGAGAGCTGGAGCTCTAGAAACGCTGAGCGAAAATATGCTTGACACATAGATGTCACTCAGTAAGTGTTAGCTATTATTATTGCTCCTTTTGGTGTGGGGCTATGTAGCAGAGGAAAAAGAGTAGAGAAGAAGTACAGGAAGCAGGGAAACAAGCCATTCCTGTTTCCTTGCCTGGGCTGCTGAGAGTTGCAGGAAATGAGAGGGATTGGACTAAAGAAAGGGTGTTGGTGTGTGCTGGAGCTGGGAACCCAGCGAAGTAGGAGTGGGGGGACCTATCTTAATGGGGTCTGTCAGAATGTGAGGTAGAAGGAGAAGTAGGGTTAGGTGACAATGAAAATGGTACGTGATGTGGGGTGGTGCTGGGGGCCACCTCATGACAGCTTGTTAACAGGTGTTTGCTGGGGTCAAACTAAGAGGGCAAGATCACTCCAATGTATCTTTATTGGGAAAAGGAAATAGTTGGCAGAGTTCAAGATGTGGCTGGAAGTTGCCTCCAATCATTGTCATAAGTGTCAACTGACTCAGAGACTTTTGCTCTGGAGACATTGAGTGCTTCTGCTGTCAAGAGACCCAGACACAAGCCATCTTCTACTTGGCAGGGAGCATTATCCATGGAGGCTCCTGAATTCTGCAAGCTGGATAGCAAGTGTATGGCTTATAAAGGTTCTGAAGAAAAAGTGTAAAAGTCCCCGCATCATTTCCATTCTCTTGACCTTTCCTTCTCTCAATAGTTTATGCTGCTTTTTTTTTTTTTATCACGTCAGTAAGTTTGGGCCATTTGTTGAAAGCAGGTGCAAAGGGGGCAGCTCCAAGGTAGCTAAGGGAAGGAGATATTAAAAGAAGAGGAAAGAAAAATTACAATTCTATTATAGTTTATATGGGATCTTTTGAGGGTTGGCGAATCCAAAAGCTCTCTCTTGAGCCACAATTGAAGTTCAAGGCACTTGAACTAACCAAGGAACTCTGATCTCTAATGTCTGGTGAGAGAGGATGGAGAAGAGGGAGAGATCAGGTGGGCCAAAGATGGACAGATACACTGCGAAAGTCTGACAGGGAAGACTAAGATGAGAAGGAGACCAGCGCCAACAGAGGCTAAGAAGCGACTGAGAGCTCTACAAGAGATAGCCCTGAAATGAGCTGGCTGGCTTATCTGTTGATTATTCAAAGTCTTCCCTCTTCCCTTTCCACTGAATATGCTCCATGGATTTATAATTTTTAGGATTTTCAAAGTCTTCCAGAATTTAAGACAGCATTGCATTTACTCACTTCTATTTTATATAATATACCCTTCAAAAATTTTACTGATGTTCACAAGCAACTCCTGATGGTTTTACTCGTAGGGTTCAGATCTGGGAGCGGGGAGCAAATGAGATAGGCAATGAAGAAACTGTAAAAGCCAAAGCTAAGAAAGCTCCTGGAAGTTGCTCTCCTTTTTCATCTCCATAGACTAAGGGGCCATGTAAGCCACTGGAGGGCAGTGGCACGTGCCTTCCTGCTTGCTATGCTGAGGTTTGCCAAGACAGTGCCTCCCAGCTGGGGACTAGGGCAGCGAGGAGAGCATCACACCTGAGACTGTTGGCCTTGAGTAGAGAGTCTGATGGAGCACTGCTGTCAGATGGCGCCCTCAGTAAAGACTAGTTTAGGATGCTCTTGGGTGATTTGCAGAGTCAGTGACTAGAAATCCTACTGATGTGCCTACTACAATCCAGCCAGCAGACTGGGAGGGAAATAGGGCCCGGCTGAGAAAGACACAGCCTCTAACCAAGCCCCTGAAGCCAATTATTGCTAGGATGAAAGAGGACTTTCCTCCAAAGGAGAAATGAGCAGGGCTGAGAGGGGCCTGGGCAGAGTCAGAGCTGGGGAAGAGGAAACAGACTGTAGTGGGGGAGCAGACAAATGAGGCAGAGGAGATCCAGAGAGACAGAGCCCTGTCAAGCTGATTTTTCACATCATCTCAAGGCGTCTCTGCCCCACTATCCTGAGACAGATATTGAAAGCAGTCTGTTTAAAGTTTTCTGGGCCTTCAAAATTAGCCCCTGCCTTCTTGACTGCTCTCTCCCACTGAATTGTATTAGCCAGCTTTTACATCACTGGGACAGAGTAACTGGCACCTGCAATTTAGAAGAAAGGTGGAGAAAATTTGCTCCTGTCTTGCTGGCCGGGACTGGGGCTGGCCAGTAGGGGCTGGGTGTAAAGGATGGCTTTTGGATAAGAACACACATTTCCAGGTCGTGCCTCCAGTGACCTGGCCACCTCTGACCAGGCTCCCTCTCCCAACAGCACTTTCGGCTATAGATTAATCTGCTGATGAGTGTAGTGCCCCCAATGACCCAAGTTGTCTTCCAAATACATGAAACTCTGGGGGACACTTTAAATTATAACACTGTCTCAATGTCTGGGACGTACATCCCAAGAGAAGAGGGGGCAGACGACTTGGCTATGTGGTGGCCTTGCATGGGTGAATCTACAGGGAAAACTGTCCAGGAGGAAAGGGGCTACTACTGACAAGGAAGTAATTGTGCTGGACCCGTAGCCCTTCCCTCCTGCCAGTGGGAAAGTGGCACGGTGATGGGTTCATGGCCGTCAGGCTGTAGGGAGCTGAGGGTGAAGGCAGAGAAGCCAAAACTCAGCCTGTGGCCAGAAGGCAGGTGGCACAAGGCTTTTGCCTGCCTTTCCTCCTCCAGATGTCTTGCAACTGGCCTGTGTGGTCCGCCCCCCCCCCCCCCCCCAGTTTCTCAGCTTCTATCTGTCTTGCAGAAGAGTGAGGAGTGGGAGGCAGGAGCAGGGATGGCGAGCCTGAGGCCAGCTCACAGAGGTGGGAAGACAGGTCCGCTGCAGCAGTGACCCTGCCTACATCTTCTGCAGCTTGTCATCGGTGGCTACGTCCTTGTCAGAGCACATTTACCCCTCAAGATCTAGAGCCCTCTGCTTCAGTCATTACGATTTT